GGCCATAAATATCTTTATAGAAAGTACCAAGTGGCTCAGAGGGGAAAATGATCTACTCTGCTTTTGAGGGGAGGACAGGAAAGTTTCACAGTATAGAGGGATCTTGATGTGATCTTGAAGGATGAACAGGTGTTTTCTAGCTGGACAAAAAGAGAAAGGGCATCCTGGGTAAAGGGAAGAACATGGCAAAAATTCTGGAGGTATGGCAGAGCTTGGCACCTTGGAGATGCTGCTAACGGTTGGGTGTGGTTGAAACTTATCAAGGATGGAAGGGTGTAGTAAGATACAGGGCTGGAGAGGGTAGCCAAGGGCTAGATGGTGAGGGCCTTTAGGCACTTTAAGAAATTCTATGAGTTATCCCGAAGGCAAATGGGAGCCACTGTTGAATTTTTTTTCTTTTTGAGACAGAGTCTCATTCTGTTGCCCAGGCTGGAGTGCAGTGGCATGATCTCAGCTCACTGCAAACTCCGCCTCCCAGGTTCATTCCATTTTCCTGCTTCAGCCTCCCGAGTATCTGGGCTTACAGGTGCGCACCACCACGCCTGGCTAATTTTTGTATTTTTAGTAGAGACGGGGTTTCATTATGTTGACCAGGCTGGTCTTGAACTCCTGGCCTCAAGTGATTCACCTGCCTTGGCCTCCCAAAGTGCTGGGATTACAGGTGTGAGCCACTGTGCCTGGCCCCACTGTTCAATTTTTAAGGAGGCTAATGACATGATCAGATGCATTTTAGATCAACCACTCTGCTGTGGTGTGGACAGCAGATTGGAGGTGAGCAAGACCAGCTTGTGGAGTTATGAGGCTGTTGCTATTCTCCAGGCGGGATACGATGAGGCCTGAACTAAAGTTAACAATGGTAAATAGTTACCTGGCACCAACTATGTGCCAGCCAGGCTTTGCACTAAGCACATAAGATATTATCACATTTCATCCTCAGTTCTACCCTGTGAGTGGTGCTGTCATTATTATCACGCCTGTATTACAGACAGGGGAATGGAGGCTCAGCCACATAGCAGGTAAGTGGCAGAAGGAGGACTTAAATCCATCCACACTGACTTCAGCACCCACTGGCCTACCCCCTATAATATTCTGCCAAATAATGAAGGTAGTGGGTGGAGACAAGTGCTTGGAGTCCAGTGCTGGTTAATAATTGGGTCCACCAGGATATTGGCATGAGGGAGAAGAAATCAGAGGCTTCTGTTCAGTCAGTGGGATCAACAGTGAACCCAGACAAACCAGTAGGTTTTACCTTTACCTATAAGTCTAGGATTCAGGGACAGTGTGCAAGCCACAGAAGAGGATTCCAGTGTGTCATTGTTACTATAGGCCTCCCCATGGGGGGATGACACAGGCCAGGATCCATCAGAAGTCTCTACCCACTCCCCAGCAGGAGATATGGAAAAAAGGGTGCCACCCATAAGTCTAGGCCATGTGAGAGCATTTTTGTGGCCTCTGTTGTCTTTCCAGGACCCTCTTGCTCTCAAAGGGCCGACTGGTTTCCCCCAGGACACTGGGAAGGGCACTCCTATTGTGTCACAGTGATGGGTGGTTAGCTCTGCATGGACCATCTCAGGGCCAAGCCTTGACCTTCACTTGCTGAGGTTGGGCTGGGGGTGCCCCGTTTCCTTGGACCCTGAGGACTGTCAGAGAGGCAGAGTCCTCTGAGTCTGGCCTTTGAGTCAAAGCTGAGAAAATGGAACCTGCTTCCTATTAAGTGGTTTCCACCCAGCAGTGTGGATTCTGTTTGTGTTTTCCCTTCTGGGCCACGGTTTGTGATGCTGGCCTCCCCACCTGCCCCTGTGGGTTTTTCCAGGCTCTGTGGTGGGCTGGGCCAGCTGACGTCAGGAGGCTCAGCGGCTGTGTGCCTCGCTGCCGACGCACCTGCTGATTCATGCTGTGGCCTCCACCTGCAGCTTCACTTTGCCCTCCACAGGTCGGGGCATTGGTTTTCTTTTTTAATAAAAAAAGCTGAACCTGATTCTCAACTCAAGAGAGGCCGCAGCTTGTTTGGAGCCATCAGCATTACCATGGCAACCACGCCATCTATGAGCACTTGAAAATATCATTATCAACAGTGACCCTGCATCCTCCCTCTTGCCTCACAGCAGCCTCAGGCCTCCATAGCTCCCTGGCCCTTGTAGTTTGGCCCAGGTATAGGCTCTCCCAAAAGCAGGGAGTTGGAAGTATAAACCTGAGGTTCCCACTCATCCTCATCTTACCCGCCTGCCACCTGCACATCCTTCTGAAAGGAGCTGAGAAAATCCCTTTCATTTTGGGGCAGGCACTAGGAATAGACATTAAGCTGACATTTTGGAGCCCCATTTTTTTTTGAGCTGGATCTCACTCTGTTTCCCAGGCTGGAGTGCAGTGGCGTGATCTCGGTTCACTGCAACCTCTGCCTCCTGGTTCAAGTGGTTCTCCTGCTTCAATCTCCCGAGTAACTGGGAGTACAGGCAAGCATCACCACACCCGGCTAATTTTTGTATTTTTAGTAGAGATGAGGGGGGTCTCACCGTGTTGCCCAGGCTGGTCTCAAACTCCTGACTTCAAGTGATCTGCCTGCCTTGGCCTCCAAAAGTGCTGGGATCCACACATGTGAGCCACGGTGCCTGGCCAGGGCCCCCAAATTAACAATTTATCTATCTATCTATCTATCTATCTATCTATCTATCTATCTATCTATCTAGAGACAGGGTCTTGCTCTGTTGCCAAGGCTGGAGTGCAGTGGCACGATTACAACTCACTGCAGCCTCGACCTCCTGGGCTCAAGCCATCCTCCTACCTCAGCCTCCTGAGTAGCTGGGACTATGGATGCATGCCACCACGCTCAGCTAATTTTTAAATTATTTTTTTGTAGAGACCGGATTTCACCATGTTGCCTAGGCTGGTCACAAACTCCTGGGCTCAAGTGATCCTCCCACTTCAGCCTCCTGAAGTGGTGGGATTTCAGGCGTAAAACACCGCACCCGGCCATAATTTCTTTCCTTTTTCTTTTTTCTTTTCTTTTCTTTTCTTTTTTTTTTGAGACAGAGTCTAGCACTGTTGCTCAGGCTGGAGTGCAGTGGCCCCATCACAGCTCACTGCAACCTTTGCCACCCGGATTCAAGCGATTCTCCTGCCCAGCCTCCCGAGTAGCTGGAACTACAGGTGTGAGCCACCGTGCCCGACTCATTTTTGTATTTTTAATAGAGACGAGGTTTTTCCATTTGGTCAGGCTGGTCTCGAACTCCTGACCTCAAGCGATTCGCCCACCGCTCCCTTCGAAAGTGCTGGGATTACAGGCATGAGCCACAGTGCCCAGCCATGATTTCTATGGGGAGGATAAAATTGTGTGTTAGATACAGATGCAGAGATAATAAGGCCTAGATTTAAAATGTATGTGAGAGTGTTCATAATAATAATAAGCATTTATCAAATACCCATCACCATGAGTCAGGAAGTGTACAAGATGTGTTACATACCTTGTTTCCAGTCCTCTGCTGTAATTACTCACCTAGAGGCAATTTAAATTAACAAATCAATTTCAATTAATTTAATAATACTATCTGGCATTTATTGAGTGCCAGACACTCTGCTATGCTCTTTAACATTTAATTTCACATGTGAAACACTATGATTATCTTTTACAGATGAGGAGACTGAGGTTTACAGGGGAGAACTAATGTGCCTGAGGTCATTCAGTTACCGAAGGATGAAGCTGCGATTTTGGTTTAGGTCTGCCTGACAGGTGTCTCCATTATACTGTAATAGCCTAAGGCTTAAATGAGGTTCAAGCTATCTACTGAGCAAATGGAGACTCCAGGTTTGCCTGGCTTAGGAGGTTTCTTCCAAGGGCTTTGAGTGATATTTCTCCCCTAGAATGGTCCGTCCCTGATCACCCTCATCAGGGTCACCTGGGGAGAGTTGAAGTCTAGGCCCACCAACACCTATTGTACCAGATTTTTGAATGTGGGCCCCAGGATTCTGTATTTGAGGTAACTCACCAGGTTGAACTCTAATGTTTGAGAATTTAGAGTTAGCCGCCCTCCTGAAGAGCACGGACCACGTCTCCTCTGAGACTTCCCCAGGGCCAGGCACATAGGCCACAGGCATTTGTTGATTTGTTGAACCCGAATAAAGAATAAATGGGCTCCGCTGAGTCCCCTGAGCCTTTCCAGGGCCAGGGCCTCCCTTGGTCCCGAGAGTTTGTAGTTTCCTCTTACTCACTCCCCAACTCCCCACTACTCCCTGAGGTCCCTCCACTCCCCAACCTATGGTGGAACTGCCCACCAGGCCCTGCCCACTCCTGTGACTTCCCCTGCGACAGGAGTAGCAGCGTATACCAGTTACTAAAAATCTGCATTTGTTACCAGGAACAAAGTCAGCCCGTTCAGCCAGCTTTCCAGGCAGACACCACCCTGACTCCCCAGCAAAATATCTGAGGTGGGCACCCATAGAGTGGAGAGGAAAGCTTGGCATCTCTTTCTCTGACAAGTTTTAAACATAAAAGAGTCTTATTTAGCAATAATAATAATAATAATAGTCTGAGTATCTCTTAATATCCAGATATCAAGTAATAAGATCCATAAGTGATGCTATGTATATATAACAGATTAAGCAGTCATTAAAATTAATATATAAATTAATATATATTCTTAGTAAGTATAATTCTTAACTGAGAAAAACTAAGAATTTAAACATTCGGCTGGGTGCAGTGGCTCACGCCTGTAAGCCTCACTTTTTGGGAGGCTGAGGTGGGTGGATCTCTTGAGACTAGGAGTTTCAGACCAGCCTGGGCAACATGGCAAAACCCTGTCTCTACAAAAAATACAAAAATTAATGGGGCATGGTGGTGCATGCCTGTAGTCCCAAGTACCCTGGAGGCTGAGGAGGGAGAATGGCTTGGGCCTGGGAGGTCAAAGCTGCAGTGAGCCATGATCATGCCACTGCACTCCAGCCTGGGTGACAGAGTGAGACCCTGTCTCATTAAAAACAAAAGGAAAAAACAAAAGAAAAAAAAAAAAAGAATTTCAAAGAATATTTAATGATATGGGGAAATGTTCAACAAAATAATAAGAAACCAGGATACAAAACTATATACACTGGAAAGATGTTTGTGATGTGGTAGAGATACCAGTTGCTCCCCAATATCTCTTCTCCCCTTTTGCCATAGTAACAGAACCCTTACTTAGATAAATAACCTATTTCCCAGTGGTCATGGGACTACATTCTGGCTAGCAGGATATAAGCAGAAGAGATGCGTGTGAACTCCAGGAAGTGTCTCTCTTAGACTGTTCCTGCTGCTATAACAAAATTACCTTAGACTGAGTAATTTACAAACAATGGAAATTTATTGCTCACAGTTCTGGAGACTGGGAAGTCCAAAATGAAGGTACCAGCAGATTCAGTATCTGGTGAGGGCCTGCTTTCTGCTTCCAAGATGGCGCCTTCTCGCTGCGTCCTCATGTGGTGAAAGGGAAAACAGCTCCCTTGCGCCTTTTTGATAAGGGTACTAATCTCATTCATGAAGGCTCCGCCCTCATGACTTAATCACCTCCTAAAAGCACCACCTACTAATACTGTGGCATTGGTGATTAAGTTTCAACGTATGAGTTTCAGGGGAACGTGTTCAGATGATAGCAGTGTCCTTGGAGAGAAAAGCTGGTCTCTGTTTCTTCCTTCTTCAGTTTCTGGAGTGTGGATATGAACAGCCATCTTGGGTCCTGAGGTGGAAGCCATGTGTGGAAGATGGAGGGCATTGGTTAGAAGGAGTCTAGTCCCTGATGGTCATGGAGCTGCAGAACCAGCCTGAGCTGCTTACTGCTGGACATCACTTACTAGAGAGAGAAATTAACATGCTTCAGCTACTGTTACTTTGGGTTTTCTGTCATTTGTAGCTGAAATAATCCTAATCAATATGAGATATATTAAGTAAACAAAAATGCAAATTGAAGAGTATGAATTGCATGATTCCAATTTTATTTTATCTTCTTTTATTTGATTTAAGTGTTTAACTCTTAACCCGGATTTTATTTTAAAATGTGTGTTTATATTCATCCATAGGTACATAGAATAAAGAAAGGAATGTTAAAAGCTAAAATGTTAGTAGAGATTATTTCAGGATGGTAGGTTATAAGGATTTTATGTGCTTATTTATTTACCTTTTGTTTGTTTATCTGTATTTGCTAATTTTTCTATTATTTTTATTTTTATTTTTTGAGACAGGATCTCACTCTGTCACCCAGGCTGGGGAGTACAGTGGCACAATCATGGCTCACCACAGCCTTGACCTCCTGGGCTCAGGTGAGCCTCCCACCTCAGCCTCCTGAGTAGCTAGGACTTGGCACCTGCAACCACGCCTGGATAATTTTTGTATTTCTTGTAGAGACAGGGATCATCATGTTGTCCAGGCTGATCTAGAGCTCCTGCGCTCAAGTGATCCACTGCCTCAGCCAAAGTGCTAGGATTACAGGCGTGAACCACCATGCCCGGCCTCTAATTTTTCTTCAACAAAAGTGTATTACTTTTTAAATAAGAAAAAATAATGAAAGGTATAAAGTATATGACTTAATGAGATCCATATTTATTGCAGTAATAAAAAAATATCCTGAGGCCAAGGTGGGTGGATCATTTGATGTCAGGAGTTCGAGACCAGCCTGGACAACATAGTGAAACCTCATTTCTACTAAAAATACAAAAATTAGCCAGGAGTGGTGGTGTGTGCCTGTGATCCCAGATACTTGGCAGGCTGAGGCAGAAGAATCGCTTGAAACCAGGAGGTGGAGGTTACAGTGAGCCAAGAATCCACCACTGCACTCCAGCCTGGGCGACAGAACGAGACTGTCTCAAAAACAAAAAACCAAAAAAACCCAAAAACCTTATTCTTAGAATGAAGGTCTGAAATAAGAAACAAACAAACAAACAAACAAACAAAAAATTTTAAAAAGGAAATAGAAAACAAATACCTTCTTCATGATTCCATGGGAAAAAAGACTGAAAAGAAGTGTTCTAAAGTAAATAAGGGCATGAGAAATTGTTCAAAATATACTGTTAATGGGAAAAAAGGTTATTCAACAATATGATGCCATTGTTTTTGATAAAAAGAATTAAACAACATAAATATGTGCTAGAAAAAGAACTAGAAGGAAATAAGCTGATATATTGGTGGTCTGGTTTCAGAGGAGAGATTTTAGCGATTCTTATTTTCCCCTTTATACTTTTGGTATTTTCTAAATTTTTCTCTAATAGGCCTGTGCTAATCTTATTTATTTCAAAATGTTTCTGTTTAGAGAAATTTTAACAATACAGAAAAGCATGTTACAAAGAATAATAAAAACATACACATCCCCACTGTTCAAAATTAAAACTATTAATTTTTGTTATATTTAATTCCTGTCTTTATTTTAAAGAAATAAACAGTAACAGTAAAGTCCCATTTATGTATGTCATCATGATCATTAAAAATATTTAAATTAGGCTGGGCACAGTGGCTTATGCCTGTAATCCCAGCACTCTGGGAGGCTGAAGTGGGAGGATTGCTTGAGCCCAGGAGTTTGAGACCAGCCTGGGCAACGTAGCGAGACTGTGTCTCTACAAATAATAATTTAAAAATTAAATTAAATTAGACCTTGCCCTGTCTAGGATGGCCCAGGGTGATATTTTGTGAAGGTAGGGGAGACCTGCTCAGGGATTTTTAATTCCCTTTCCCCTTCAGCCAGAGGTTTGGCTCTAAGTGACTATTTCCAGGATAGGGGTGGCCTGGGTGCAAGGATGCCAGATTTGTCTGGCACTTCCCCTGGAACACAGAGTGGCAGGCAGGGCTGGAAGGGGAGGGTCTCAGTGGAGCACTTCCCTCCCGAGGTCAGTTGGTGCCCAACTAGTGTTTACGAAGAGGGTGGGACCTGAGCCTCCCAGCTCTGTGGCCGGGGGTGGGGGGGTGCTGGCCCACAGCAGGCCACAAGCAAAGGACGGTGAAACTGCTGTCTCCTGCAAGGCTCAGAGGCCAGGCCACAGCCTGCGAGGATTCTGAGAAGTGGAGGCCCTTGCAGCTAGGTGGTAAAGTGGTCAGTGGAGGTTCTGGGGATCCAGAAAAAAGAAGGAAGAAAGGGAAGAGGCAGGAACGCTCACATTTACGAGGCACCTACTGATGGGAAGGTATTATGGCCATTTCACAGATGAGGAAACCAAGACTCAAAGGCCTATTGATGTCACTCACCTGAGGCCTCACAGCTCCTGTAGGTCCAGGTTGAAATCCATGCTGACTGCACGCCTCATGCTCCTCACGCCACACCAGGCTGTGTCCCATGGGGCTATGATGAGGGGGCCATTCTGCATTGCTCAGCACCTACAGCAAGGCCGGGATCATTTGGAGATTGATTTCCAGGCGGTGGTGGGATCTAGGGACAAGATGTTGTGAGGCAGCCCATCTTCACTGGGCGTGAGTCACAAGGCTGTCAATCACCTTCTGGCAAGGAGGCTCAGAGAGGCCGGTAAAGTCCGAACTGATTTTGGAAGAGTTCTCTGGTGTCCTCTCTTCTTGCCTTTGCGGGCAGCAAGGGTCTCAGGCCCATAGCCAGCTCTCCAGGAAAATTGTCAAGCATCTCCTGGGAGCTGAGAGGGGCATGAGAGTGGCCACCACCCATCCCTTTGGACCTGACCTGCCAAATGCACAGCTCTGCGCTGTCCTCTCCTAGGCCAAGGCAGAGGTCGGGGGGCAGGTCTACATGTGCCTGTGTGTACTCACACATACACACACACACACACGTGTGTGCTCCCCTCGGCAGGGGGCAACCTCCTGGTAGGTCCACCCCTTTCCAAGACTGCCCCTCGCTTCCAACACCTGGCAGACATCTCAAAGGAGGAACAGGCCTGGAAGCCTGGACTGGGCCACATACTGGTTCTGAGAGTGATCTATTTATCTGTGGGCCCCCCACCTTCTCAACTCAAACACCAGGACCAATGCCAGAGCCATGGGCAGAGAAAGACCCATGAACCCCTCCTGGGGAGGCTGGAGTTTTTTATAAGATAGGGTTGGCTGGAATTCTGACTCTGTTCCATTCTGACTACGTGACCTTAGGCAGATTCCTGTCAATAGGTTTATAAAATGGGGATGTCGGCCAGGCGCAGTGGCTCATGCCTGTAATCCTAGTGCTTTGAGAGGCCAAGGCGGGTGGATCATCTGAGGTCAGGAGTTTGAGACCAGCCTAGCCAACATGGCGAAACCCTGTCTCTACTAAAAATACAAAAATTACCTGGGTGTGGTAGTGGGCATCTATAATCCCAGCTACTCGGGAGGCTGAGGCAGGAGAATTGCTTGAACCTGGGGGGCAGAGGTTGCAGTGAGCTGATATCGTGCCACTGTACTCCAGCCTGGTGACAGAGCGAGACTCCGTTTCAAAAAAAAAAAAAAAAAAATGGGGATGTCGTCATTGATAATAACAGACACATACCTCTTCCAGTCGTAGGAGGATTAAATGCAATAGTATGCAGAACATGATTCCACGTTTTGCACACAGTCAGGCATAGAACAAACACTCAGGAGCGGCGCCTGGTGCTTGTGTAGCTCCAGTGACTTCTCCTACCCCAACCCTGGCTCAGGATTCAGTCTTCACTCCGAAGTGGCAGGAGAGACGTAAAACCTCCCTCCCCTTCTTGGGTGCCCCTGCTCTCCAAAGGTTCTCTGGGACTGCCCAGGCTATTACTATTGTCAACAATAACGATGACCACTGCTTCCATTTATTGACCACTGACTCTGTGCCAGGCATTGTGCCAAGTTTTCTCTTCTTTCATTGTCATGGCAATAGCGGAGGTACTTTTAGTTTCGTGTAATCCAGGTAAGGACACTGAGGTACAGTGAGGTTCAGTGACTTGCTGGGGTCACACAGGTAGGGAGTGGCCCAGCTGGGAATCTTTCGAGGCTGGGAGAACATGAGTGACCAAATGAAGACATTCTACAGACTCAGTTGCACCAATTGCCAGGGCTCCTGGTCTGGGATCCAGTGAGGTTCTGCTGGGAAGCTGCTGAGTTCTGTTCACAGTCACCAAAAGGGCACCCTGGTGGCCTGGCCGCAGGACCGGGCTTCTGCCTACTCTCAAGCCCAGGCACTTCCTGCCACTCTGCCCAGTGAGACCGCCTTGATCCACAGCTGTGGTAGGAGATGAGGACCATGACTGTCTCCTTCCAGCTGGGGTACCAGGCACGGCCCAGACAGGAGACCAGGACCCAGGTTCAGCAGAGGAAATGGTTGGAAATGTTGAAAAGGCACCGGGGGGTGGGGAGGTAAACCAGAGATGAGCAGTAGCAGGAAACTGTCACCCCCTGCCCCCCTACCAATGGGGTTGCTCCCAGGGCTGGAACAACAAAGGGAGGGGGCGGAGGTTCAGGAGCCCAGGACCTGGACTGCCCAAGGGAGCTGGAGCCATGAAGGAGATGAACTCACAGCCAGAGCTGCCACCCAGATCTGGGGATCAGGAGGAATACCCAGACTTCTCTTCTTCCCCTGCCCCCCATCTTCCTCCAGAACCTTTCATTGGGTAAAACTAATCAGAAGCCAGTTGGCAAAGGGGTCTGGGGCATGTGATTTGCCCTCCAAGATACTGAGCAGAACACAGGCAAGGAACAGATGTGACAACAAACCAAACAAATGACCAGGACAGAGACCTCTCCAGGGCTGCCTCCTGCTCCTGTGGCCACCCCTTGCCCACTTCAGGGCTCCTGCTGAGTAGGGGACAGTGGACTCTCGCTGCTGGTGACCACACTCCCTCCTGGAGTCCACCTGGGCTGTGTCTCTTTTCCTAAACTCCCACTTGTTGGTGTCAGGAGACCCTAAGTGACAGAGCTGGCCACTCCCTCCACATACTTGACCTGGATTGCCTGGTGGTCTTCACTGCCCTACACGTCACTTCAGTGACTGTGTTTCTCTCTTGTCCTAACCTTCTCTCCATCAGCACTGACCTTACAGGGCTGGGGCCTCACCATGCCCTTCCCCCATGCCTGCTTAAGTTATAAGACCACAGAAAATGCTGCTGAATTCCGAAGGTCTCCCACCAAGCACTCTACTCAAGAGCCCAGGCTGGGGGTGCTCTCAGACCTGAGGTCAAAGCCAGCTCTGTCACCTACTAACCTTGAACAAGTGATTTTGCCTCTCTAAGCCTGAATTTGCTCATCTAAAAAAAGGAGAATAGCAGGAGGAATAGCAATAATACATTCCTGCAGGGCAGAGGAAAGAGAAAGGCTTACAGCTTATCTGTGAGGTAGTCGTTGCAGGTACAAGAAGAAAAATAGCAATTGAGCATTCATTCCACAAATACTGATTGACACTTTCTGTGCATTGGGTCTGTCTAGGAACAGCAGGGATAGGAAGAAGAGTGAAATATTGTAAGGTAAGACGTGAGAAACCAACTCGAGTTGCCCTCAATGGAAGGATATTTGTTGGCTCACTTAGTTGGAGGTTGGGGGTCCAGAAGTAGAGTGATGTTATGAACTGAATTATGCCTCCTCCACACTCATATATTGAAGCCAACAAATGTCTTTCTGTGACTGCATTTGGAGATAGGCCCTTTATGGAGGTAATTAACGTTAGATGAGTCATAAGGGTAAGGTCTTAATCCAGTAGGACTGGTGTTCTTATAAGAAGACAGAGCGCTCCCTGGTATCTCTTCTTCTTCTTAAAAGGATAGCAGTCCTATCTGGAAGAGATACCAGAGAGCTCTCTCTTTCTCCGGGCATACACAGAGAAGAGGCCATGTGAGGTCCCAATGAGAAGGTGGCCATCTGCAAGCCAGGAAGAGAGGCCTCACCAGAAACCAACTTTGATGGCGCCTTGATCTAGGACTTTTAGCTTCCAGAACTGTGAGAAAATAAATTTCTATTGTTGAATTCACTCAGTTTATGGTATTTTGTTATGGCAGCCCAAGCTGACTAACATTGTAGGCTTCCGAGTTGATGAGTCCAGAAACTCTGATTCCATTTCCCCGCAGTGCTCTTGACTCTGCCCTCCTCTGTGTGTGGTGACACCCTTAGGCTGGTAGCAAGAGGACTGCCCTAGTTCTAGGCTCTGCAATGTCTAGGGGAAGAGAAAGAGAGAAGGCTGTCCACAAAGCTGCCTGATAAAAGCAAGCGTGCTTTTTCCTAGAAACCCAAATCAAACCTTCCTGGCATCTGTTGGCCCTAACTAGGTCACATACCCATTTTGGAACCAATTCCCAAGATTTGGGAAAGCCAGGCACGTGTATTTTGTACAGCATAGGAAAAGCTGTAACACAGAGACCCCACATACAAGTGTAAGCAAGATAGAATGTACGTCTCTTTCATGTAAGAGTTCAGAAAAAAAAAAAAAAAAAAAAAAAAGCAGTCGAAGACTGATAGGAGGACTTGGCCATCCTTCAAATGTGGTTTCCCTCTCTAGGTCCAAAGAGACAGCTTCAAAATTCTATCATCTCCCAGGGAGGGAGAAGGGCAGAAGGGTCAGGGAAGTACATGCACAGTGCCTTTGAGGGCCCAGCTTAAAAGTGGTCCGATTATGTCTGCTCACTGTTCATTGGGGGAGAACTTAGACTCCTGGCCACAATAAGCAGCAAGGGAGGTTGGGAAATGTAGTCTTTAATGAGGCAGCCATCCGTTCAGCCAAAAAATCAGGAATTCTGTTATTTAAAAAGGGGATCGTGCATATGAGTGAAACAGAAAGGTCTCTGCTGCACTCAGATTAGTTAGGGCCAGGTTCCTGAATCAATTGTTGGGAAGGGTCAGCTTCCACGGAGCCCCATGGGCTTGCTTCTTCAGTCTCTATACTCTGGGTCTGTCACAGCAGCTTAGCTCATACTCTAAATAATGCACTGTTCCTTGAATCGCCTTGGCTTCTCTTAGGAATCTGGAAGGGGGAGAATGGATGTTGGGTAGCCAGCCAGCAGTGTCCTCTACATTATCTGTCCTTGAGGTCCTGAGATGCTGGGGGAAGAGATGGGTTTAAATAGATAACTATGGTCAACATGACAACTGGTAACTCACAACAACATATAAAGCCCAGTGAAAACAGAGGGAAGAATTAAGAGGAGGCTTCTTCGAAAGAGTGGAAGAGTATCATGAGTTCATTTTGGCTGGGTTTTAAAATAAGTATGGGAATTTCCCAATGGTTTTGGTCGAGGAAAGGCATTTCAGACAAAGAGAATGGCAAAATATGGAGGCCTATGAGGTGTGGCTTGTGATCTGAGAGTGGAGAGCTAGGGGTATGTTAGGATCAAGTAAAGAAGGGCATCTGAAGGCCATGAGAAGGAAGCAGCCTGTCCCACAGGCCTCTGGAAGCCATGGAGGGGTTTTAGGCCTGGGAAGACATAATCAGATCTGTGTCTTTCTCTGAGGGAGGGACTGGAGGATGACTCGTTAGGAAGCTATTTCACAAATTCGGCTGAGTAATAAAGAGCCTGCATCAGATCAGGGCTTTAGTGGTGGGAACAGAGACAAGGAGACAGTTTGCAGAGAGATTTTGGTGGGAGAATGACAGAACTTGGTAACTGGGTGACTAAGGGGGGTTGAGTGAGAATGGAGGGGGTGGTGCTTTAAATATGGTTAAATATGATCCTGAGTGTACATGCCTGCACTACAAACCTAGAGAAGGAGTACAGGAAATGCAAGTTTTGGGGGTGAGAGGAGAAAATGCCTTCCCTTTGTCCTGAGCCTGGTCCAAGACAGACTTCTTTGGGTTTCTGAAATGTTTAACAGTCTCTCAGTTGGGCATGGTGGCTCACGCCTGTAATCGCAGCACTTTTGGAGGCCGAGGTGGGCGGATCACCTGAGGTCGGGAGTTTGAGACCAGCCTGACCAACATGGAGAAACCCTGTCTCTATTAAAAATACAAAATTAGCCTGGCGTGGTGGTGCATGCCTGTAATCCCAGCTACTTGGGAGGCTGAGGCGGGAGAATCACTTGAATCCGGGAGCAGAGGTTGTGGTGAGCCGAGATCACACCACTGCACTTCAGTCTGGGCAACAAGAGTGAAACTCTGTAAAGAAAAAAAACAAAAAAACAAAAAACACACACACACAACCGAAAAAAAAAACAGTCCCTCTTAACTCAAGGGATCTGAACACTCAGTCCCTCCTCTACAGAATACCCCCTCACCCCCAAATCTCCAATTGGCGAATTCCTTATTTCTTCCAAGAGCCTTTCTTGACCCCCTCACCAAGGTCAGAAACCGTCTCCTGTAGTCTCATGGCATCCCATTTCTTTTCTTTCCCCACCTCTCACTGGTGGTTATTGAATGCCTGCCTGTCTTTCTCCAATACACCTGTAGTTTCCATGAGG